TTGTACAAAGCAAATTTAAAAGTATCTGTATCTTTGGCAGAGTAAAACTTGTTAAAAAAGGCAAAGCAGTACTGACTTTGAATTTTCATCCAGTTGTGCTATCGGTATCTTTGTTTTAGCAACAATGAAAAATAAATGTCCCTTTAGCAAGCACAATCTTACTTGCTTTCTGTCACTCAGAATTCCTATTTCCTTTGAAATAGACTAAAGAAATTAAACTCATTCCTAAAGAAAATGGTCTTGATGCCACTAGAGGTCATCCTAGGAATAAAAACCAGTGTGCTGCATGCATAATAAATACAAAAACACCTCTGCTATTTGATACTTCAAGTGCAAAGGTACAGAAGAACATAACACACACAAAGATTGTGAATATCAAAATTGTGAATTCCTAAGAGGAATCTTTTCCTTATTCTGAGACTATTACAAACTGACTACACTACTCTCTAGCATATTTTAGCCCTTGGATGCCTGGTAGTACTGGGGCCATTGGCTTATCACTTTCAAAAAACAAAAAACAAACAAACAAACAAAAAAAAACCCAACCGAGCAAAAAAAACAACCAACCAAAAAAAAAAAAAAAACCCCAAAAAAAAAACCAAACCAAAAAAAAAAACCCACCTCCTTGAAATTATGGACATGAGATTATTTCTCTAAAGTGCTTTATTTACCCCATACATATCATTTTTCATCACCAAGAATGATGGTCTTAAAACAGGCCATCTATTATTCTCCATGGACTATGCTGGATTTATGTGGGAAAACACAAACTGCCAGTTTCCTCAGATTCTGTCATTTTGTGATTGAAAACTCTTGTGTCTCTTCATTTTATGGCATTAGTACAGATCAAGACTCTTCTGCTTCATATGAAAAAAGTTAAATGTCATCTCAGTTACAAGATGCAAAGCAGTGAAAGAAACCAAGCTCATTTTATTTAAATATGGATTTATTTAAAGAACAGATTAACTCTGATGCAGACCAGCAGTTTGGAAGTGCTATGTGCTTTCCATTCACACAGATCACAGCAGATGAGTTCAAGACAGTCATAATTACTGCACTAATTAATGTTATATATGTATAGAAGAGGCCACAATGGTTGCAGAGAGGACCACCATACACTTCCTGAACATACCTTATATCCAGAGAGGTACAAACCATGGTGGACCTGTATTTCTAGTGGCATGAGCCACATTGGAAGGGTTCAGTGACAGGTTGGATGGAACTTTGGGCAACCTGATGTAGTGAAAAATGTCCTTCCCCATGGCTGGAAGATTAAACCTCCTCTCCAAACCAAATCATTCTGTGACTCTGGGATCTGACACTGGACAACTGGGAGCAGCATAATCCCTTTGTAACTCTTCTGATATGCATAAAATTGTCAGACAACATATTTGTGTCTCAGTGTCGGATATGTGCTAGTGGCAGCAGCAAAGCATTGGAGGAATCATTGCTTGAAATCCTTTCCTAAGACTGGCTGGAATATTCCTGCAGGGGTACCCTGATGCATTCATTATACTGTCTGTATATATATATATATACAGCACTGTCTGTCCTCTGTGCTGGTCATGCTCATTCACTTCCAGAAAGGAAAGGTGAGCAAGCAGAATGAAACATGCTATAAAGAAACACACAGTGAGGAATGAAAAAAGGCATAGACTGATATTAACATTTTTAGAACAGGCATCTGGCTTTGAAAATGTAGGAAAAGATGGTACAGATAAAGCTGTAAAGGGAAGAAAGATAAGCAGGAATTTCCCTATAGTTGTTAAAACCAAATACGTGTTATAAATCCAAATATAAAAATAACATGCCAAAATCTTTGCTCGCAGGCATTTGCCACACCAAATCAAATGCTGACATGCATTTTCAGGGATTGAAACATATCTGACTGTTTGACATTCTGACTTACCTCGTTATTTTGTTTTTTATGAGGAATCAGTTTTTCAAGGGAATTTTGCTTAAAAAAGAACTTTGGAACAGCGCTTTGAATAACATGAGAAATACAGAATCTTATTTCTATAATTCAAGTTAAAAAAACTGGAAAAACAAGTGGTTTTCTCATTTGGTTTGGTTGAAGTTTTTTGATAAAATATTGATAAAGCTGTGCCTTAATACTGAAATCTGTATAAGAGATGCAAATTCCTTACTAAGACCCACATATGTATTTTTTTTTTCATTTCACGTAGCGTTACAAAGACAACAGAGTTGGGCAGTAATTTGCTCCTAAACAAACCTCCTCAGAAGTAAAAAGGTTTTGCCATCAGGCTCTGCATTTTACAGAAATACTACCTTAAAGCATAAGATAATGCTTCACTAGAATCAAATAAAACACCAACTGTTCTTCTAAAACACTGGAAACCCCAAGGAAAGTTTTTCTTTCCAATCTTTTCTCCCATCTTTCCCACCCTGAAGCATCTTTGTGACCCAGTGTTTTTGCTGTCAATACTTAGGCTGTGTGCACATTATTTCATTTTGAATACTCCTGAAGTGCAGTTAGGCATGCAAAAGGAACTTTAAATCTGCCTAAAAATGTAGTTAAGTGTGTTAGAAAGATTTTCATAAAGATAATTAAAATTATTTATTTGCATAATAAGGTATTTTTTTGCAGTTAATAAAGATGAAAGGCACACTGAGATGAATTCTTGCAAATTTACGTAAAGAATTCAATGTTTCTGGTAATGCACTGACAAACTTTGAACATCCCTTGTCTCTGATGATACCTCCCATCGATTTGTGTCCTGTTTCAACTCCCAGCATATGGTGTTTTAAAAGATATAGCTAAGAGCAATGGGCTAGGTAGCAGTGTTTTCCTTCAAAAATAAATCCACATCTTTAGCACAGCCATAAGGGAAATAGAACTACACTCTCAAATCAAACTAGAACAGTTTCTTGAAGAGTTTTAACCATAAAATGCTTTATGTTAAGGGGAAGAAAAGAAAGGCAGCTGGAAGATGTTAACTTGGTTTCTAGTTGAAACAATGGTGTGTTTTATTTCATGTTGGGATTTCAACAGACCCTTAATTAGACTTTTGACCACAAAGTTTTCACTTTAAAATATCTTGATGACATTCTGATCATGAAGAAGTTCCTGGGAGACTTGTCACCTGTTACTCTTTGAAAAAATATTCATCCAGAAAGGTAGGCAGGCAAATAATACTCCCCATCTCATAGAATAAATATTAAGTTTAAATATCCAGAGTATTTCAAATAATAATGTAAATACTGGAAAATACTTTGTGAAGTTTTGACTTAGTGAGAATAAGCAGACAGCAATGCTCAAAACAAAAAGGCAAAACCACACAGATTGCCTGCTGTGAGGTGAAATACTAATAGAATATTCATACTGTGAGTGTATAGCTGGTAAAATCTCTACTATGGCATTTCCTAAGGACATGAAAAATTATACCTACCTATGTTATGAAAAACAGCTTAGTTATTGAAAACAGCATTTGAAACACAATTTTTCTATGTAGTAAAAAAGTCAGTGTACAAGACCAGATATTATCATTCAGATTGAAACGCACATTCAGAATATATTAGTTCATTTTTCAAAACATTGAATAAGGAATTCGCATAAACAGCGGTGCTGTGATTTATCTTGATGTAACTTGTAAGAGTGTTAAAAAATACTAAATAGATGGTATTCAAATCTGGAGTGAATTAAAGAAAAAATTCCATGTTATTCTGAAGATAGCACCTTTAAATTGAACTTCAGAGGAGGGAAGGGGAGGAGTTGGGCAGGACTCAGAAATCATCTAGTCCTCTTCAGGGCTGACCAAAAGTGAAAGCATATTACTATTAAACCAGGATGCTCAAATACTTTTGAAACAATCAGTTAGGGGACACTGATCCCCTGTCAAGGAAACCTGTTCTTGCTAAAGCATCTTTTTCTAATATCATGTCAGAACCTCCCCTGATGCAGCTTTGAACCTGTCACATGTGTCCTGTCACTGAATAACAGGAAAAAGAGACCAGCAATTCCTACTCTTCCCCTTCTCATCCTGATAAAAAATAACTGAGTTTGATTCTTGGGCTTTATTGACAAAAAAAAAAAAAATTATTTTTATTGCTGATTTTTAAATCAAAATAAAAAAAATTATAAATATATGAAACAATAACATCATCACCAAAGCTTGAGATGCATGGGAAAATTAGAAACAGAAAGAGTTTCCTTGTTCTGAAGTAACTTACTCACCTGACTTTTGGAAGAAAAGATAGTCCCCAACTTTTCTCTCTCTTATTAAGAGATAAATGTTTTCTATGTTATGTATACATAGAAATACACAAATCAGCTGCAATCTGGTCCAAGTTACCTTCATCTTTGATGTGAAGTAGGTCCATGAAGGCACATTTTGGGATTCTTCTATGGATCTAAATGAGGGGGATTTAACTGATTGCCCCAGTGGTTTTCTGTCAAATTTTGGCTGAAGTTTACCATCCCCAGAGTGGAATTCTCTTAGGCCATTTCAGTACAATGTCAGTGAAGTCAGCTTAAAGCATCTTAAACCAAATTTGGATGACTTTACCCTTTTGTGAACAACTTACACAGACAATTTTTGCTTTACAGCTGTGTCAACAGAAACTGCAAGAATAACTTCTCAAATTCAATAACTAGATGTGAGAGAAATGAACTGTATATGCCTTCAGTCCCCCTTGGAATGAGAAAAATTAAAAAGAATGTTAGATTGTGGCAACATGGCTACTAGCTTAGCCTCAGGACAAATCAATGTCTGTTAATGGGAATTCAGATTAGACTAATCAGAAAACAAACTCCCAAGTCTGTAAGAATTGTGTATTATTTTTGTCACCACACACAAAAATTAGGCACTTTTTGAGTCAAAATTCAGGTAAAGTTCACATGTTCTTTGTGGCGTGGACTACTGTAGATATACTGCAGAAAAATATCTGTCACAGAAAATAAAACCTGCCTCCCAAGCTGATTCAGCCCCTGGGAGAGAGCTGGTCCCTGTTGCATCCTATTTGAAATGTTACACTCTTACCTTGAGCTGCTCTCTGTATCTGCCTCTGGATTACCTTTCCTTTCAGATGGTCTGTAAAAGACACAAAATGCAAATAATTAGAATTCAAAATGTCAATAATCAAAGAAGTCATTGCATATTTCCCACCATTTAAAACTCCCTGTGCTGCTGGCCAACTTTAGGGGTTTTTTGTGATCCATGGGACAAGTTGATTTCTGAGTCCTGTCCTTCTCTCTAGTGCAAGTAAACAAGTGGGCACAGTGTGACTCTACATATACTGAGATTTAATTGTCCAGTAAGAAAGACTGAAAATTAAGCATTTATTGTCAAGCACTTTAACAGGATAATGATCTCCTACTGCTAGATACAAAAGAAGTCCAAATGGGACCAGAAGACAAATGGAATTCCAAGTATTTGTTCAAACAGACTTAAAGGCACTTACAAGATGTCCTTCTGTAATGTTGCTAGAAACAGATCATCAGCAATCTAAATGTTTTGCATTTCAAGTGGCAACGAGGCCAATGGAAAAAAGCAGGCCAAACAAGTCAATGAGAGTCAGATCAAGCAGACAGACAACAGCTTGCCATCAGTACGAAAATGTGGAAACATAAGAACATTAGGACTAAGTTTTAAATTATCATGGCCAGAGGCTTGTCTTTTAATTACACAGAGTTTCCTCTTAGCACAACTGGGATAGATACCAGAGCGGTTGCAGAAGTTCTGTTTGTATTGCGAGCTTTGTCAGACCATTCAGGAGTATGAAACGACCCCAAATGTTCTTCTCTCCCTTCATTCTAGCCTTTGTACACTTCTGCTCCATCCATGGATCATGGACATGGACTGTGATGTTGCAAGAAAACTTCTATTTGTCAGCTTTGTGAAGGAATGAGAAGTTTGATCAGACCACCTGTAATCGGAGAGGAAACCAAAGAAAACTTCTCCACCAACTAGAAAAATAAAACTCCAGTCTTACTATTCTTCTAGAAAAATAGTTTTCTTTTTCTTCTTTAAATAGAAATAGAAAAAAGACATTTATCCAAGTCACAGAGTTCAAATTGCCTTTTCAGGGCAGGAAAAACTGGACTTCATTTCCCAGAAAACCTCCTGAGGAGAAACTGAAATTGCATTATGGGAAAAGTAGACAAACATGAGTTCAGATGTGGGGGACAAGGTAGTATCATGAGGCACCTGACTATAATTCCATACTAATACTTAGCCAGACAGATATGATTTAATCTTTCCATTTGTCTTAATCCAATTTGAAATTTGACAGTTTGTTTAGATTTCATTTGGGGGAAAAAATGTTTTCACTTAGAAGCTTTTATTTTTTGACAAACCCTTAAGATTTTCTGTATATGTTTTTGATTAAAGTAATGTTGTTTTGTTTTCACTATAAATACTTGTAGGGGAGAATGAGTGTTTATGACCTGCTCTACTTTTCTGCCTCTGGGAACACCATTGCCCCAGTGCTAGGCTAGAAATTCATAAGTGACAGAAGTAGGGGATGATTCCAGTACTGTTGCCTGCACAAATCTTCCCATATAAACAAAAGGAAGATTTTAGTCTTAAGTACTGCCAGTTCTTCAATCTTCATAACCAAAAATATATACCCAAAGAAATATGAAGAATCACATTCTCCCAAAAAAACCATACCATGTCCTCTGATTCAAAGTGTAAAGTTGTGGAAGAGGTAGTGCTTAAATGTGGCTTGAAAAAATTGAATTTAAGATGCGGAGAGCATCTCTCAGCATATGGCTAATGATATTTTCTGAAGTTTCACCAAACAAGAAGCTAAAAATAGGTCTACAGCTGATACCAAATAATTTTTTCCAGCAGAGTCATTCTTCATCTGGAGATAACAGTCCCAATAAAATGTTGACTGCTGCAACTCCACATGTTTTGGCAAGAAAAGTAGTTTTGTGGAATTTAAGAATTCACTCAGCATGCAGCCAGCTGTCATTAAGGCTGTGATAAATCTGTTGGTTTTGGCCTGCATTTCTGGAGACATGTAGGTATGGAAAAGAGGTGAGCTGGTAACACAGAACTTCAGTTTTGTGACAGGAGAAAAAAGCAAGGAGGGTGATGGAGAGGACAAAATGGAATAGAGAAATCTAATTAAGAGTGATGTAAAGCAGAGGAGAGGATCCCTTTTGGAGGCTAAATAGGACAGAATACATAACTTGAATAACATGGCTATCCTTTAACTTCTTGTCTTTGCATTGTTCCAGACTATTCCAAGGATCTGAAATTATCTTCCAATGTATTACAGACAAGGAATGCTTTGACCTGAAGAGCATGCTTTGGGACAATGCAAAAGTGAATATGTTACAATTAAAAAAAACCCCACTGATTAAATTTTTTTTTTTTTAATTTTGTTTGGGTTCATGTTACAGGTTTTAAAACTTCTCTTATGTTTTATTAGATCCTCTATAATTATATAAGCTTATAAGACCTTATATAATTATAAGGTTTATAAGACCTTATAACTATTATAAGGTTATTATATAAGACCACTAACTCAAGAAATGACAGGCTAAAGTGTTTCAGATGACTTCTCATCTCTTGTTAATTTTTAGCATTTTTCTATTATTTTACATTTTTCAAGCCTGCAATTATCTTAATGCATCCTTTCATCATGGGGATCCTGAAACCTTCACACCTCAAATAGGATGCTGCATGTTTCACTTTTTTTATTGCTAAATCATTTTTTGTCTTACATGAAATATCTAGCAGAACATCCTACTATGCATCCAGGGCATCTGATTCCTGGAATTCACCCTCCAGGGCTTTTGGGTCCCTAATAATGCTATTTGGTATTAGATGTTGCTTTTTTTATTCCTGTTTCTCACACTGCCACACCATTCAATAACCTGGAGGTGCACAAGAAGCTGCAATGGAACACAGCTGGGACAGCTGACCCCAGTTGACCAAAGGGATATTCTACACCATGTGGCATCATATTTAGTTAAAAAAAGCTATGGGGAACAAGAATGAAGCAGAGCCATTTGGAGTGACAGTATTTGTCTTCCTGAGTCACTATTAGGAGTGAAGGAACCCTGCTTTTCTGGAGATGGCTGAACACCTTGCTGTCAATAGGGAGTGAAGGAATTCATTATTCTGCTTTGCTTGCACACACACATTTTGCTTTACCCATTAAACTATCTTTATATAATTTTATGAGTTTTCTTACTTTTACTTTCTTGATTCTTTCCCCAGACCCACCAGAGGGGAGTGAGCAAGTGGCTGTGTGGCGCTTTTTTGCCAGCTGGGCTTAAAACATGACAGGAAATAAGTGGGGTTTTGTTTGTAATGCAATGCCCCTATATTTGCTGTTGGATTCAGCTACCACCCAACTATGAAAACCAACTCAATACTCTGAAACTATTAAATCTGATTCATGAAGTTGCATGTCCCCACTCAAATCAGATAAGAAATCCTGCTGAATTAGCAGAAATTAAAGATGCATATTCAGCAAATAATCACTCAGAGAGAGAGGGGAGCAATCACGTAACTTCCATGAACCTTGTACAGATATATTTTTAACTGCGCTTGAGGTTAGAGTTGTAATAGCTTAGAAAGTATTCCTGAAAGTAGGAGACATTGAACCCAAGTGTAGATATTCAAATGGAACAATTTCTCAAACTCAGAAGATTAAACAGAGGTAGTTACAGGAAATCTTACCAGATGTGTTAGAATACTTTTTTTTTAGAATACTTTTTAAAATCTGGTGATGAAATTGTATGAGAACACAGTCTGTGATAAAAAGTGTCTGACAAGAAAAGTCATGGAATGAAAGAAAATATTTTGTTGTAATGCAAAATCTTGCAGCACTAAGAACAAATAAACCATTCAGCCTTTCTCTGACCCAGAGAAATATTTGGGACAAATTCTGAATCTTCTTTTCAAAATTTGTCCTTCCCCAATGGCAAAAACATGTCAGTTGGCTCTATTAGGACAATGTGCAGAGACAAAGTAGTCTGCATTAGTAAACTGGCTCAACGCTATGTCTGATGGAAATGCTTTATTTTGGAATACATGGTTGGCCAAATCCCCATGTAATTTGATAGCTTCTCATTTTCAGAAAGCCCTTGGTGGCATCAGGGAGGAAAGCATATTCTTGCAGTATGCAGGGCCTCTCTGATGCACATGCATTTTTGCAGGTGTGAAACGAGGGCCTCATCGGCATTAAAAATATATGGATGACTATATACCTGAACACCTCAGGTAACATACTGCCACAGGTATAACCTGCCACAGCAAATTTCTGCCTTCTGCATGGGTTTAAGATTTTACTGCCTCTCCTTTCTCCTCTTCCCTCTCTCTTCCTTCCATCCCAAAGTTTGCTGTCAGAGGTCAATACCCCACAGCAGATAATGTAGAAGGAAATGTTCTGGCTGCTCTAGCAGCAGAATTTGGAGCATCAGCACAAGCATACCAGCAATTTAAGATGAGACCCTGTCATCAACTCAACTACAATGTCTGAAATACAAGTAAACATTCTCTTTTGCCAGCTGGGAAGAAAAGATTGGAGAAAGTAAATGCCAGCAAAAAGATGGGCCAGACCATTGGGAGCAAGGAAGCTGATGGGATTTAATAGAGCTCTGCAGTCAGAGCTCCCAGGAAGGACAGCAGGTTTAGAATTTGAAGCACATCCTTGACTTCCACAAACTCATAGTTGCAAATCATAGCCTCAGCTCAGCACATTACCAAACACACATGGAAATATAGTTTTCCCAACATAATCTCCTTGGAACTGAAGTATCCCAGATTCAAATGGATACATTTTAGTATGATGTAGGATCATGCATATTTTGAGATTACTATTTAAAATATCTGACTGGGTCATATTTCCTTCCTTGCCATACTCAGTTGAGACAATAATAGGTTTTATTGACACATTTAATACCTTCAAGCATGACCAAATTTAAGCATGGAAAGCTTATGGCATAGCAGCCTCTTCCAGTCATTGCTGCAGGACAATGTACTTCTCAGAAAGAATTTCTTCACTGAAAGGGTGTTCAGGCATCGGGATGGAAATATCCAGGGAAGTGGTGGAGTCACCATCCCTGGGG